GTCTCTGAACACCGCGGTATGAGGCATCGCGGCTCTTCCTTCGCTCGTTTCACTCCAGGCTCCTGCAGCGGAAGGCAGACGTGGGGTCCACCCAGATCCTACCTTCCCGTGGCACTCGGTCTCACCTCCACTAGCGGAGGAGCCCGGGTGCAGACAGAATCCACTTACCTTTGCTCGGCTCGGTGTTAAAATTCTCCAAAGACAGTGTAAGCAAGAGCCAAGAGAGGGTTTTCCCCAATACACGGAAGACAAAGCTTCAAACCAAAATACTTGAACTATTTAGGAAGAAAGATGAGGACAGGTAGGAGGCAGCTCCAAGGCAGCATTGACAATCACAGTCGCGTCCACTGTACACCCACTTCGCCCCATGTGGCCACCGAGGTGCTCTGCAGGACCCTCTGTCCTCGCCTCCCCAGGCCCTGAGCTGCCCCTCCTAGAGGGACAGCCCCCCCCCCCGAACTGTGCCACACGCTGTGAGAACAACCTCCTCACGCACGGCGGGAGTGCATTCAGGCTCATTCTGACAAAACTTTATTTCAGGGAAACACGAGAAGTCCAAGGAGGACCAGAAGGAAAAGCTCCCCATGTGTGACAGTAACGTGCACATCTTCTTTGTGAACACCCTCTTCCAAGCCCACAAACGCCAGGAAATGCTCAAGGAGAAGGTGAAGGAGCACCGCTTGCAGGAGGCAGCGCTGGCTCAGCAGAGGAAGGCGGAGAATGAAGAGCTGGAAGCCAGGTACAGGTGTCGCGCGCCCCTGCTTTGCAGCACGTGCTCAGCTGGCTTGTCCGACTTCCATCGGAAGCATCAGGACCTCATGCAGGGTCTGAGACCCGAGGAACGAACACAGCCCGACATGGTGGTGCCCGCCTAGGATCCCAGTACTTTGGGAGGCCGTAGCAGGAGGACTCCAAGTTTGAGCCCCACCTCAGTAACTTAGGAAGACCCTGTCTCAAAATAAAAAACTAAAGAAGGGCTGGGATGTAGCTCAGCCCTGGATTCAATCCCTAGAAACAAATGAAACAATAAATATCTGGGTTCTGCTGCCACCATAGCGTCCAGAACCTTTAGCGCTTCTGAGTGATAGGAGCATCTTTTCTTGTAATTGAGTCCTAGTGCCTGGTTCCAGACACCAGGGCTTCTTGGACTCTGGAGCCTCTGAGGGTACAAGAGTGTCTCTGGTACACTGATAGCCAGTAAGATGACAGTAGTGGGTCCCTAGATCACTTTGCACAAGGTAGGGGTGGGAGAGGGCTGGTTGCCAAAGGACTCAACTACGTGCTTGGAGAGTTAGAACTTTCCACTCTGCTCCCTTGACCACTGGGGAAGAGGGGCTGCAGCCTAGGTTTTATTACTGGTGGCCAATGGTCTCATCACTCACGCCTCCAAAGGAACCTTCACCCAAACGCTGAACAGTGGCTGCGGCTTCAGAGTTTCTAGGTTGGTGAACACATCCTCATGGCGGGAGAGTATCCCAAACTCTGCAAGGACACACTCCCCCATGATGGGACTCTATGGACCTTACCCTTTGTATGTTTTCATCGGGCTGGGCTTTTCTTTTTTGTAATGGGGACTAATCTCAGGGCCTTCACATTGAGCTACTTTCCCAGCCCTTTTTACTTTGAGACAGGGCTCACTAAGTCACTAAGTTGCCCAGGCTGGGTTTAAACTTTCCATCCTCCTGCCTCAGCCTCCCAGAGTGCGGGGATTATAGGCCTGCACCACCACACCTGGCCTGGCTGCTCATTTTTATTCTTTAGCATATCCTTTAAAGTACATGTGTGTTTTCCTGAGTTCTGTGAGCCATCCTCGCGTCTTATGGAACCTGAAGAGGCGTTCACAGGCACTTCCAATCCATTTGTGAGCTTATTGGTCACAAGTACAGGAGGCCTAGACTTGCCACCGGCATCTAGGGTGGGGTGGCCTGGTGGGATCTGTGTTAACCCCAGGTAGACAGTGTCCAAATGAACAGAATGTGGGATGCCCCACTGGTGGAGGGCTGTGGTGGGCGCGGGAGAAAACCCTTGTGGCATCTGTTAGAAGCGTTGTGGGGAGTCAGTCCTCACCTGGTCCTGGGAGCTCGCGGTCACCGTAGATGCCAGGGCTGTGCTCCGTGTCTAGGCAGTGAGTGCATCTTTCCCAGAAGCTCAAATGGAGAGGGAACAGGAAGTGTGTCCAAGAGCACAGGCCCCCGAGGAAATCTGTGCAACTGAAATCCAGCCCTGCCCCTTGGCTGTCCGGGACCTCGGGCAGGGTCCTTCCTTCACGGCGTGCCTCCGTCTGTTCACCTATACAATGACAGGACATCTCATGGGGCTTGTCAGGCGTCAGATGCAGGCCTGGGACACAGTCGGCCCCCAGAAATGCGAGCCCACCTTTGCAGTCACCTCGGGGGCTCAACTTTGTGTGGCCGTGTGCATCCCAGCGCAGACACCTGCCCTTGGCCATGTGCAGAAGGCGGGGCTCTGTGACAGAGGGAGATTGCCCCGGAGGCCTTTCACAAGGCCACAGAGAGCTGCACAGATCACCTTAGATACACAGAGCTTGGATCTAGAGGACTTCATTCACTAAATTCAGGCAGTGACTGTGATTTAGTCTTGCTCACAAGCACTGTTGAAATACAGAAGTGAAGGACTTTATTTACGAGCTTAGAGCTGGTTTTGGATTTTCATAAAAAGAAGCGTTAACCTCTCATTTTGCCTCTTAGGCTGACTGTCTTAAGGGAGGAAGAGGCCAAGAGACAAGACCTCGAGATCGACATCACCGTCCTCAAGGAGCCCATGGACCTCCCGGCCTCCTGCCCGCCCCTCACGCCGAGCTCTCCCAAAGAGGACATGGCTGTGCCCCAGGCCAAGTCCAGCCCGAGTAAGAAGAAGAAGAAGTAAGGGCGCTCGGTGCTGCAGGCTGGCCGCGAGGACCGCACACAGCAAAGCTCAGACCCGTGAGAAAACTCCGCTCCTCACGGTCCGACACAATCCCGGTCTGGGTCTGCTGCAGCGAGATGTCTTCTGCAGCCGACCGCTGAAAGGCCTGCACGTTAATGGGTATACAGTAAATGTGTTTTAAAAAATCAAAGTGACGTCGTGATGATTAAATTCAGAGTCTGCTAAGACAGATCAGAGGCAGTGCGGCGGGGAGGAAGGCATTCAAACCTTCCTTCTGACGCCTTTGCCTTCTCTGTGTCCCTCACGTGCCACCTCCCGTGGCCTCTCCCGTGGTCCTTTCCCACCAATGCCCACAGCACTCTTTGTCCCATTTGAAAAATGCCACGCAGCAGCAACTCTGGGTAGCAAGATAAGGAGCAGGCCGTCGGTGGGCAGCTCAAAACACTTCTTGTCTCTGCCAGAAAATTTTATAGTTAATAATTTATATTAAAGTTTAAGAGCAACCACCGAAGGAATGAGAACATAATCAGAAACTTCTGCACCAGCAGCAGGAATATAGGAAATCATCCAGCAGAAAGCTAGAGGGGAACATGACCGAAGAAGGGGATGTGAGCAAGGAGCAGAGAAGATGGTAAAGGGCGCGTGCGCCTCACCGCCACAGCAAGCACATCAACACTCCTCCCGCTCCCGCAAACACAGACAAGTACATGGCACTAACAGCCAGAAACAGTGCAGTGTCACTCTTTTCAAGAGAAACATTTTAAAACGACATGGGAGGAAAATAAAGACAGAAAGATGGGCCAGGAGCTGACCGGAATAGCAAGCAATATTACGGACAAACCAGCTTAGAGCGAACACCTGCACCACATAGCAATCAAGATAATGGTACAAGGACAGCTTGATGCACGGACGTCTCATCAGCCATGCAGAGCTGACAGGATCCCTGGAGGAGCTGCCTGCAGCGTCACGTCAGGAAAGACAGCAGGAGACATAGTATCAGCAAAGGCACAGATAACGTAAGCAATGAAGCTACAGTCTGAATACATAGCTAGGAACCAGAATGCAACAGAGAATAAACACCGCCAGAAACACATTTTAGGTTAAAAAGTACAACTGCAAATGCCGCATGGTGGACCATAATCCAATGCCAAGGCAGTAGCTGAGTCTGAAGAAAATGCACACAAGAAAGTGAGTGGAAATTCAAAACCGCAGCCTTAAAACTGGTGTGCTGGCTTACAGCTGTGATCCCAGCACCTTGGAGGCTGAGGCAGGAGGATCACAAGTTCAAGCTGAGCCTGGACAACTCAGTAACTTAGCAAGACCTATTCTCAAAAAAGTTATAAAAGGACTTGGGATGTAGCTCAGTGTGAAAGCTCTGGGTTCAATCCTCAGGACCATGACACAAAAACAAAAAATAAACAAAAACTCTGTAATCATGAGGAATAGAGGCACTCATAATGGAAACTTGAGATTATTTAGGACCAACAAAAATACTACAAACTTACGAAGCTGCTCCTCTCCCTAACATCAAGGGCCCACATAGATTAGGTGAAAGGGACTGTGGAGTCACTTTTTCACCCACACCAAAAACTAGGTTAAAGAAAATTCAGCCAGAATTCACCTCCACGGTGAAGAGACACCCAGCACTGTGGCTCCTCAGGATCCCCTGCGCTGTCGAGGAACCTTTCTGTTTTGACAGTGAGTAGTTTGAATTCTCTGTAGTAGATGTGATCTAAAAATTTAAGAGGTAGCACTGAAGATAAAAAAGTCTAGCAATTTATTTGGGTCAATGAGGAAAGAATGCCAGTTCTAACCAAAGGTTGACTGAGGTGTTTTTTTTTTTGGTACTGGGAATCGAACTCAGGACCTTGCGCTTGCCAGGCAGGCACCGTGCCACTGAGCTATATCCCCGGCCTAAGTTTTTTTCTTTTTTGGTACTGGGACTCAAGCTCAGGAACCTGCACTTGCCAGGCAGGTGGTGTGCCGCTGTGCCGCTGAGCTACATCCCTGGCCCCACGGACTGAATTTTTAAAACCCCGGAGCACAAGCCAGGAACCCAGAGGCCAATGTAGACTACAAATCAGCAACAAAAAAGACTCACTTCAAAACCAGAATTTTAAAAACTTTTAAAGAATTTATTAGTCTTATTTTCCAGTAAAATATTCACATAATGTCAAAAGAATGAAATGATATATAGCCAACTATCTTTAATCAATTCCACATAAATATTTAAAATCTAAAAACCTCAAGGGATCATCAGACTGAGTAGAAATTTGATTCTTCAAAGCAAGTATTGCTTTACTATTGTCATTAATCCAGTCAATAATATGACCAATAACTTGCAATGGTAAACAAAATGTTCGCTGAGTTTTTAAAAGATGTTTTCGGTGAGCCGTTGTCAGTCAGTCCAAGAAGAAGATGTTACTGAACTGCGTGGCACAGAGCTTTTTTACTTCTTCTGCAAAGAGAACAGAAAACGGTGTGTAAGCAATGGAGATTTTTTTACTTAAAACGTGACATGATACTTACATATTAGTATTTTAAATTCTCCGGGAATAAAGTGGAAATAAAGTATCTGCATTGATTTTGACTTTAAATTCCAGAAATCTAGGCAAAAAATGTTAACAGATTTGGGTTTGGAGATCCCTAACCCACAAGACCTCAGTACTCCCCAGTACGCTGAAACCCAGCTTCCCTGGGCCTGAGACTTAGCCTAGTGAGAAGAGTACCGTGCCTGAGATGCCCACAGGCTGGCGTGTGAGGAGTGCAACATCGCAGATACGGTCGATCTTGAGAAATCCCAGGGAGTGTTATAGGAACTCTGGACCCAGCCTTAAGTTGGACCAAGTGCTCTATAGAGTATAATCTTGATTTTACTAAATTCGCATTTTATTTTATTTTTTAGTACTGGAACGTGAACCTAGGACCTTCACACCGAGCTACATCCCCGCTACCTTTCCCCAGACTGGGCTCAAACTTGAGATCCTCCTGCCTCAGCCCATCGGAGTGCTGGGATTACAGGCATGAGGCACCAAACTCAGCTTAAATTCTCATTAAATTAGGCATGTACTACTGATATTCCTAATGCACACAAATACCAATACAACTATTAATATAAACAGAAAAATTTAGTAAGCCCTAGAACATAATGAAAAAAATCCTCACACCTCACTTTCCTCATGGTCTGCTTGTGGAGTGCATCTCCCCAACCTGCAGGCTGCCTGCTCCAGGAGAAAGGAAGAGCAGCAAAGTGGCCCAACCCCCGCCCTTCCCCCGGGGCCATGGTCCTCAAGTCCCCCAAAGCCGCTGCCCAGCCACACCAGGGAGGCCAGCACAGCCACGCTGGCCAGAGGGGGAGAAAACCTGTGTACTCCACTCTGCCAGTGCCCAGATGCACACAGCTGGAGCCGCCACACGAATCTAGCACTCTGTACGGAAAAGCAGCGTGTTCACCACACTTTTTATGTGAACGGTATTTTTAAATGCAGCATGCAAAGCCATGGGATTCTTCTTAGCATTATAGAAAATAATTTTCACCACTATCAAGTTTCTTGTACTACAGGGGATAGAAAAATCTACAATGGAGGCATCCGGTTAAAATTTCAAGTCATTTGTTTATCATGCTTCTTGATATACCAAGGAGTTAAAAAACAAAACAAAATGGCAGCACTAAAATTCTGCTCAAATATTAAATCCTGTTTACCATTGACTTCAATCAGGTTTGCATTTTTTTGATTCAAAATAACATACAGCTCCCGCTGATCCGACTTTTTCCCAACCACCCAGTAATCACTCATGGCTTTCACAATGATTTCTTCATCTTCGTCCGCTCTGTAAGACAAGAGTGTCACAAGGCACGCTTATTACGTACACAGCCAGACAGCGGGAAAACCCCCCACATTCCCAAGCGAGAAACAGGGCAGGGATGGTCATTCCCGAAGCTCAGGGCGTCGCGTGGGGGTGCACAGGGACCTCTGGGTTGGGGTGTGTCTGGAAGCGGCGCAGGGAGCGCAGCCAGGCTTGAGCCCCTTGAAGGGCTTTGGGTCACTGAGTTTTGAAGACGATGCCTTTACTATCTCTCGTTAGAAAGGGCACAGCTCGTCTGAGTGGTCGGGACTACCTGGTAAAATCACTGTTGATGTCACCTAGAATCTTCATCAGATCCGGGTGGACAGACGTAAGTGACACACTGGGCGTTTTCCTCATGTGAATCGTGCTCTTCTCCGCCAAGTTCATGTGGTTGAAGTAGATAAACTTAAACTGGGGCTCCTTCTCAGACCTGCAAACACGGCATGAAGACGGTGACGCTGCAAGAACTCTCACCCACACCACACAGCCGCACTGCGGCTTTACAACTAGATGGCTCAGGCCTTGCACTTTCAGTGACGGGACCATCGAGTTAAGAACCTCAGTTTGGTAACGTGAAACCGGCTCTCCAGTTGTAACTGATGCACTACCCAATGTGACAGAAGTTTCCAGAAAGCTATTTTTTAAACGCCAAAAATATTTAACCATTATATGATGATTTTCTACATAAGACTATTCTTCTAAAATGCAAATGAGGGCCGGGGATATATAGCTCAGTGGCACAGCACCTGCCTGGCAAGCACAAGGTCCTGAGTTTGATTTCCGGTATTCCCCCACCATCCCCCGAAAAAAGGAAATAAAACCCAGATAGGCTATTTTTCATCTAGTGGAAAAGTCAGCCCTGTGGCCAAATCTGGCCATTTTCTAAATAAACTTTTACTGGAACACTGCCGTCCCCACACACTGATAGGATGTCTATGCTGCTTTCAAGCTAAAATCAGAGTTGTGTACTATTTGGTCCTTACAGAAAAGTCTGCTGACCCAATTTAGGGCAGTGACATCACTTAACAGTGTGAGGGAATGAATGAGGCGTTGCCTGTATATTATTGTGCTGCACGTCTGAAGTTTACAGTAACAAAACTTTCCATTAAGCAGGGTGTGGGGCACACGTATGTAATCCCAGCATTCTGGAGGCTGAGGCAGGAAGACCTAGAGTTGGAGGCCACCCTGGGTTACATTGTTCAGATCATGAGCCCTGTGTGGTGGTGCATGCCTATAATTCCAGTACTTGGGAGGCTGAGGCAGGAGGATCACTGTGCGTTCAAGACCAGCCTGGGCTACACAGTAGTTTACAGCCAGCCTGAACTGCACAGCACCTGTCTCAAAAACAAACAACAGTGGAAACACCCCCACCGCCCAACAAACCATCCAATTAACATACAACTTTCTCATCATTCTCAGTGTACATCATGCTGAAGTGTACTTTTCTGGTAAAGTAAAACATTTTAATTGGTATCTTCTCTTCCCTTCCCCTTCTATGCCTACCCAATCCTCCCTGATGGTACTAGGGATCAGACCCTGGGCCTTCACACTGCGTTACATCCCTGTGTCTTTAATTGTGTTATGCTGGCACAGGACTTCATCAAGTTGCTCGGGCTGGGCTTGAACTTGTGATCCTCCCTCCTCAGCCTCTCAGAGTGCTGGATTACAGGCGAGGGCCACCAAACCTGGCTTCCTTTTTCTTTCTTAAACTGACTGGGTGCTGCTACTCCAGTCTGTCCCAGATTAGAGCTTTCAACCTTCTGAGGGAATCTTGGGGACAGCTGGGCCACACAGCTCGAAGGGTGCCTGTCCCTCCCTTTCACTGTGCTCTCATATACACATCCTGGGCTGGAGGAGCCGGAGCTTGGCCTGCACTGAGCTCAGCATCCTCCGCCTCCTTCAGGGCCAGCAGCCATGCTCTGGAGAGCTGAGGGTGCAGAAACTCGACAGTGGACAAGTGGGTTACTACTGTGATACTTCACATCTAGGCAAGAAAAAAATGGGGGTGAGTTAGCTTCCAGGACAATGAAAGTAAAGTTTTATAAAACCAGAGTTTGTTTTTGGTAGGCCCCTAACACTAAGAAAAGCAGGTGTAAGAAAAACTGGTTAGAAAGATGAAAACTTAAAAAGACACATGGAAAGAGTTACAATTTAGTTGTCTGGACAGACAAATAACAAATTGCTTCTGACTGCTTTGTTTATTCTGAAACATTCCCTGTGGCTTTCCTCCTTCACCCATTTGTAACACATGAAATGTGTTCATTTCTTTTGTACCCCTAAATTGGAATTAAATTAGAAGTATTATTTAGGGCCGGATCTGGTGGCACATGTCTATAATCCCAGCACTTGGGAGGCTGAGGCAGGAAGATCACCACCAGCTGAAGGCTAGCCTGGTCTATACAGTGAGTTCAGAATCAGCCTGAACTACATAGCAAGACACTGTCTCAAAAAAAAAAAAAAAAAAAAAAGTTCTTTAGGTAGTTAAGATAGGCAAAGGAATATGGAATCTTTCTAATCTCCTTTTTATGAAGTATAAAAATAGGTCTGGAAAACTGCTATTTACAAAACATTATTGATTAAACAAGGAGACATCTGCTCACACTCAAAACTTAAGGATAATTTCTTAACCTTTGGTCTTACTAGTGATAAAAATTAAGATCCACCTGTGTATTGATTTTGAAATAGCAATAGTTGCATTTACCTGGTATCTTACCCGAAGAGTTAAAACCAAACCTTTTAACCACTTTTTAAGCATCAAAATATTTTAAAAAGCAAAATCGTATACATTTCTTGCCTTCTTAAAGAGCATACTATACACAGTTAACTATGTGAGTGTAGGAAACTCTAAACAGTAATTATTTCAAAGTTTTGCATTTGGGCGGAAACAAAGTTCTGGGTAAAGGTGGGGGTCTGCAAAGACAGAGCAGAGGAGAGCTTGGTTGCTAAGAAGATTACCATTTTAAAAAGCCAAGTACTTTACACTGGCACAGTAGGAAAAATGTCTTGAGAAAATGTGAGTTCCAGCAAGGCTCCATCCTTCCAAGGCTCAAAACTGCAAAAGTGAAGCACTCTGTTTGAGAAGAGAACCCTAGGGAACCCTCTTGAAGACAGGCTACCTAGGGAATTAAGTTCCTAAGGTTCAATTCACCATGCTGAGCCACTCAGGGACTTGGAGGCTGGTGTAGCCTTGATGCAAAAGGACTTGGCAATTGGTACTATTCCAGTTGGTAGCAGACTGGCACATGCAGAATGCAAGAGTTATGGGGTCAGGGAGGTTTCCACTCAGATGTCAGAAGGCAGCCTGGAAGGCCAAGCATTGTCCCCCTGAGAGTGAGGCAGTAGATTAGGGCACGGCAGACTGACTGGGGGGAGTGGGAATGATCTGTTACTCACAAAGTTCTAGGACACATGCGCAGAACATTTTCCAAAACCCTGCACCTGGAACCAATCAGAGAGTGCTATCTTCAGTTCTTCTCACGAGAACTCAAGCAGATTTTGGATAGGTCAACCTAGACCATACATCAGCCTGAGAAGTGGGAGATACAAAAGACAGCCACCACTGCACTCTTGGCCACTGTGCTCTTTCTTTCACAGTGGTCCACTCTTACCCTGTAGAGTGCACTTCTTTTCCTACTTTTAGTTGGCTCAAACTTACTCTGCAGACTATGTTTCTTTTCTTACCTTTAATAAATGCAAATCCTCGCTACCTTGTTTTGTTCAATTCTTAGAAAAACAACAGTATCACATTAAAGGCACCGATGTGAAAGAAAAAGGATAAAACCATTAGAAACAGGCAAAGGACACAGAGGGGCAATGTGTAAGACAGAAAAAAGCCAATGACCCATGAAGGGACACTTGGCCTCAATGTCACCCATCAAACTGTGGAAATGCAAAGTACACATGGAAAGGGTGCTGGTGGCAGAACTGGTAGGTGGTAAAATGGCACCCTTGTGGGAAGTGACCTGGCAACAAGTACCCACATCTTAAGTGCTCTTTCCTTTGCTGCTGAACTCAAATCTAGGGTTTTATCCTCAAAAGATAATGCAGTGCACCAGATCTGTCCACTACAGAACTGACCACAGCACTAAGAACAGCCGACCCCAGGTTGCCCACCAAACAGGAACATGGTTAAACAAACCACAAATTGCCCCTCTGTGTCCTTTGGCTGTGTGTGACATCTATCAGTGGTATATACCAGGATGCCACTGAAGATATAAGAAAGAGCATCCCCATTTACTGATTTTATATGTTTGTGTTTTTTTTTTTTGTTTGTTTTGTTTTTTTTTGTCTTTTTGAGACAGGGTCTCACCATGCAGTCCAGGCTGGCCTTGAGCTCCCTCTGTAGCCCAGGCTGCCCTTGAACTTGTGATGATCCTCCTGCCTCAGCCTCCCAAGTGCTAGGATTACAGGCATGTGCCACCATGCCCAGCTGTGCTGTATTTTTTAAAGCTCTAGATTTATGTCACATTTATTTTAAAAGCATCTATGTTAACATATTTAACACGTTTAGGTATAAGTTTAAAAAGTGGAAAATAATTAGCTAAGATTTCCAATATTTGTATATTTTTAAAGAAAGCTACAGACTTTTGTTAAAACCTGTGGTAATTTTAATCTGATGTTACTTACTACATTTAAACAAACAGACCCAAACACAGACTTATCTTCAACCCCAGACTTCATGTTCAAGCAGAAGCCTTTCAGGAACAGGGGGAAAGAGCTACCTTTGTGTGTCACAACATGGAAGTTGGAACACTGCATCTATACAGCTGAGATTTCGCCCATGTCCTATGCTAAGTAACAACTCTTTTGTCTCAGAACCAACTTTAATGGTTATCAATACCTTCCATCACTTTAATTTGAATTAGGTATAATTTTTTGTTTTTGTTCTGTTTTCTGAGAGTCTATGTAGTCCAAGGTGGGCTCAAACTTTTATTTCTCTTGCCTCAGGAGTGCCAGGTTCACAGCCATACATCACTGTACCTGCAGCAAAATTCCTTCTGGTGTGTATCAAAACTCATACTGAACAGTGAGTTGGGTTGCACAAGAGGATTTTTCATACCTGTCCATAAGTTTTAGTCTGCAAGTTAGACCAAAACAGACACAAGTACTACTATATTTTTAAATTTTGTTTAAAAATAAAGGCATAAATTATCCTCAAACCAACAAAAAAAAACCCAAAACAACCACTGGGTTCAATTCCCAGTACTCCAATACATACATACATAAATACATGTCCTTGAGAAGAAAACCAAGGTGCCACAAAAAAGACATCAATACCAAATTAACCTACTTCCTGTTGTTCTTAGAAGGGTGGATACCTCGACTTTCTGGGGAGCATTCAAAGACCAGATTCAATACTGCACACTATGCCCTAAGAACTGCCGTCTGGAGTTTGCTAGTGAGGGCTTCAGCTGAGAAAGCAGAAGGGTACTGAGGTTGTGGGAGTGTTCTGGGGCCAGGAAGGCATCCTGCTTCTACCCTGCTCCTCCAACATCGCCCAGGGGAGCCCTCTAGGATCTGCCTTCACTAGCCTAAGAAAAGGGAGGTCCCAGGACTGGGGCATAAGTTGGTCTGAAGAATCTCTAGAAGAAAAACACATCTTTTGTATCCAAAAGGTTTTATCTTGAGCCAATTAACAACTGTTGTCTGGCAAGCAATGGCTCCTTATGCATAAAATCTTGGGTGCATCGAGAACTATCTTAAGATCAATTTTCAATAAGAACATTTCTAAAATTCCTGCTTTTGCATGCATGCCCCTTAATTGTACCATGTTTAGTTTACTATCCAGTTTTCCATGCACCCTATCTTTCAATGGACTAGTGACATGGTACAGTGGTTCTCTTAACAGTCAATAAACCTCGTCCTCGATGATAAAAAGACGTACAATATGCACGAACATGCTAACTGCAGAATCTAACTTGGAGTTGATGTGTGTCCAGTATAATTTTCATAATAAAATGTCAGAGAACTGCTTAAGGCAGGATAATTAATACCCAAGGCCCTTTCTTCAGGTACAATTGCAAGGAGGTTTAAACCTTACTTGCCAAGTAGAAGGTTCCTGAAGGCAAGTTTTACCCCTGGATAGCTGACTTGGGACTTGAGACATCTACAGAAAGCACAGGCAGAACAGTAACCACGTCCAGTGACCTCCCCAGGGTTCTGGGGATGGTGTTCACTGTACCCCTCCGTCAGTTCATTCATAACCCGCTGTGGTGGACTGACAACTGGTGGTCAACTTGTAACACCCAGCTGAACTGAACCAGCGTGGTGCTGTGTGTGTGTGTAGGGGAGGCACCTGAGGATTGTTGCCAGTAGCATAAAAAGGAGAACTGGAGAGGAAGAAGTGGGGCTGCTGGTTCTCCTGGAGGAGCTCGTCAGCTGGCTTCCCTGGTATGTTCTCTCTGTCAGAGGAGCTCAGCACCTTGTTGTCACTGAGAGTGCTATGGTTCACGTTGGGGGACCTCTGGTCCTTACTTTGTGATCGCTTCCTGGCTCTGGAGGGAAACATGGCGCACTCTTCACTCTTGTAGAGGAGCTTGTCACGCTGGCTTTCCTGACATGAACTTGGCTGTTCACACTGTCAGAAAAGCTTGGGACCTCGCTGTCACTGAGGATGGCTGTGGTATTTTTTGAGGGAGCTCTGGTCCTTACCTTGAGGGTTGCTTCCAGACTCCAGTGCAGATCCCTCAGCCTGCTGGCACAGATCCTTTATCCCACTGATACAGACTTTCTAGCTCCCATCCCTGACCTCGGGGCCTTCCCAGTGAGGATCCATGAAACAGACTTGCATGAGACATTGTCATGGGCTCTAGGCCTCTGGCTGGACTTGTGGGGGGCACCGTCATGGGCTCTGGGTCTTCAGCTGGGCTCACACAGGACACTGCTGTGGGATTCTTTGGGTCTTTAGTGTGTGAAAAGATTTCTTGCACTCTTTTGTACTTGACTCTTTGGGTGACTACTATAAACTAATCCTATAAATTGTGTGTCCTGTATTAAACTGTGATGTTGCAAACCCTGACTACAACACATGCATGATCTAAATCAAATTTAACTCACTTGTGACTCCTTCAGGAAAGAAAACCCGGCAGTTTCATGGTCAAAATCAAGCAGTTAAGCCGTACTGTCAAGAGTGAGTGAGTTAGGCACTCCTGTCTTCTGGCCATATCTTTCTCCAAAGCCAAGTAAGCTGCCACGGTCAATAGCAACAGCCACACGCTGTACCAGCTCGCGAAGAGCTTTCACTTGCACTTGTTTTGAGTGAGAAAGCCTGCTTATGAAAGGCCACAGACACCTGCCAGAGAAGACTGAAAACACTGTTCTATACGAACTCACAGCGTTTGAGTAACTGCCTGAACAGACGGAAATCCCCGTGCACGGGGATCGCATCTCTCAACATGCTTTCCCTCCACAATAGGTCTATTTTACACCGGGAAAAGAGAAGCAGAGAGAGGCTCGCTGACTTTCCAGGGTTCTTACAGAAGATGAATTAACCCCTAGTCTCCTGCTGCAGCCACACCCGACACCAGCTCGGCCACCGCCCCTGGGACACTTCAGCCCAACGAGGCAAAGTGCCCTCCGTCCCCACAAGGCAACACCGCGCTGACCACACAGCCAGCTGGAACACACCGACCTGTCTGCTGAACCGCAGTGGGTTCTGTGGTCCTCACAAAGCCACACCACAGGCAGATGGCATTCCTGACCCCAACCATTCACACCTCCACCGCCTGGGCAAGAGCTGAAGGAAAGCACCACGTGGAGACCGGGCCCCAGCCCCAAGGTGGGCAGAGAAGCTTGGGTGCAGTTTCCTGGGGGCCCCTGGGACAGGGCTCCAGAGCCACCCCTTCAGCCTCAGAGCAAACACAGGAACGTTCATGCTGCCAATTACTTAAGTAAGAGCCACCCTTACTCTTCCACAACCAGGTAAGTGCCTAAAAGTACTGTGAAGTGAAGTACGAACCCAGATATCCTTTTGTTGATGTTAAACTGCTCACAGATGTCAGATGCCAGCACCGTGAGCTGGGGCCCAACGATGCTGTCCAGTCTTCGGCAAAATTCCAACGTCAGCTGAATGGAGGCTGGGGAGGGAGTGGAAAAAGAGCATCCAGTGTTGCAGGTGGTCAGACAGGTCCGTACCATTTTACTGTTCAGTGCTTAACAGTTTCTAGACGAAAACTTGACTGATCAATTTCATGATTAAGAATGACCCAGAAGCATTACAATTAACTCTATTTAAGAAGGAAAAGAGTTGCACTGTCTTGCCATGAAATGTTGCTCTGCACACACCCTGAGGGGTGGCAAAATGGCTGCATATCCCAGGCAGACCTAAGAAGGTCATAGATTGTAAAAACTTCATGAGGCAGTGCTTAGGGTCCAGGTGCCACTTGCGGCTTTACAGGTTTAACCCTTGTTTAGGGCCCCCCAGCCCCCTGCAACTCCACCACACGGTCAGGGAGGTACACAGAGGCGCCCGGGTCCTACCGCACCAAGGGGCAGGCCAGGCCTTTGAAAGCTCAGCAACGGCCAGCTGAGGGACAGAAGTCCCGGATGGGGAAGCGCCCTTAACACAGCCTCTCTGTTGCTTGTGACTACGTGCCTGTCATTTAAGAACAGGAGGTAACAAACTGCAAAAGGCTGCTCTGCTCAGGCTGTAATGAGACTCAGACGTGCACCTACCATCAACCATAAAGCACACTGCCGCGCTCATTGCCTGGGAGGAAACAGACCAGCAGTTAGAAAACGGCACAGAAATGAGGCTTAACGAGAACAGTCAGATGCAGTCAGTGCGCTTAAGTTTTGATCTGAACAAACCAACTGTATAAAAAGCTCCTTTTCTGTGACTGGAGCAACGTGGACACAGAGCAGACAGTGGATGGTGTTGAAGAAACACTGCAGACTCTGTCACTTGTGATGACGGCATGGTGATTACGGCACAATAAATGCCCTCCCTGGTCAGGCGGGTGTGAGGCTTCATAAGTGCAGGCACGCGATGATTTGAAGCGCTCAATGAACAAAGCAGGCAGCACTGGGGAGGGGTGGTTGAAGGGTGAGCATCTTACTGAGTGAGCACTGCGAGGGGTCCCTTGGGTTCATTACTCTAGTCTGCGTGCCTGACAACTCCCATTAGTACAACTTTCAGAAGACCACAGACTGACGCCATCTCATCTCTCTGTATCCTAGCAAACGTTACATTTAGGGTCTTCTCTGTTTCTGAAATTGTCCAGTGTTGGGGCACCCAGGTGCAGGTGGAGGCTATTTAGTGTGGGAGAGGGTCACAGGAGCTGTCCAGTCTAGAACACTGTGTTCCTCTTCCGCTAGGTATTTTCTAAGCATGTTCTTCTTCACCAGATCCCTCCCCTCCACTGCCTGCTAATCAGATGGAGAAATTCAGAAACAAGTCCTCCCTGTTCATCTTGCCTTCCCTACTGTCCTTGTCATTTTATCCTGTATCTTGGGGCAAGCCAACTTAATCCTTCAAATGAGGGGCTGGGGATTTAGCTCAGCGGCAAAAGCGCCTGCCTGGCAAGCGCAAGGTCGTGAGTTCGGTTCCTGGTACCGGAGAAAAACCAAAAATCAAAAAAAAAAAAAAAATCCTTCAAATGAATTTAAGAATGTCAAAAAATTGTATTTTCAGGGTGGGGGGTTGACGAGTCACTGATTAATGGGCATGGAATTTCTGCTTGGCACGACGAAAAGTGGGGGCCTTTGCACTGAGCTACCTCCCCCGCCCTTTATTTATATTTTATTTTGAGACAGGGTCTTGCTAAGTCACAAAGGTACCCAAGCTGGGCTCAAACTTGTGATCCTCCTGCCTCAGCCTACCAGAGAGCTAGGGTTACAGGTGTGCACCACTGCACTGGGGCTCATCTGTGCCCCTTCTCATGCCCACTTCCTGCCCCCGGCCCTGAGGTAACCAGCTCCAGGTCGGGAGTCTGTCTGGGCTCGAGGACCCGTCTCGGCACACTGCCTGCTCTCACGCCCTGGCTGGAGCTTCCTCCACCCTTTCCCCTCACGGGTCACTCTCCCGTCTCCTTTCCATCTTCCAGACAGTGAACCCGTTTCTGTTCTCCCAGGGCATCATTTCTAAGCCTCTATGAGTTAAAACTGAGTTTAGTTTCAGGAAGGCAAGATAAACACCTGTGTTTAGTCCTTCTGGCTCCAAAAACTGCCTTTAAAAAAAAGAAAGAAAAGTAGAAACTAGCTGGGTGCACCTGTAATCCCAGCATTCAGGAGGCTGAGGCAGGAGGATCTAGGGTGCCCCTCTCCCCCAACGAAAGAAAACAAATACTCACCCTAATACACATATCCTCGCAGGCTAGTACCTTGACAGAAGCAAAATACTATCTCCTTACAGAACTAGCAAGTCAACAGTTTTAAAATCAGGGCAAAGGCAGAATCTGCTGAAGTGTGGCCACTGCCAGGCAGCCACGACCCAGCACAGCCTTTGGCTGGTGAGCAGCCTAAGAGCCAACACCCTAGCCACTAACTCCCCTGCTAACAGCAAAGCCGTTTCAAAAGAGCTGCCAGAAACCTACTATCCCAGAAAAGCACCCATTTTGAGTTTTACATAATTACAACTCTCAACACCTGTAAGAAACACTTAAGAGCTCTGCATCGTACTCATGCAAGAAAGATTTACTTCAGTATCTGTAACGCTGGAGGAAAAAGACAGTTGTTACCTTATAAACAATTAAATGGAGCTCTTCGTAAGTGTCATCCGTATTTACAAAAATTTTTGGGAATCGGCATTTTGCTTCTGGATCATTAAGGTTCAAGGGTCCAGTAAGAAATCTTAAAAGCAAGCACAGAGACTCAACTCAACGAGGCAAATTATAAATAGGAATAAATTATAAAGAGGAATATATAAACAGAACATTCTGACTCGATAAACATCAATTTTTTTTTTAACCCAGAGGCTATCTGGAAAACACTAAATCAGAACACGATAAAGTAATAGCTGAAATTCACTGGAAACTACAGAACTGCCTGTGTTGATTATTGCTATGAGAAACAGCACAAGGGTAACTCAATGTTCATGAGTTTACCCGAAAAAGACTATGAAACCCAATCTTGTAAAATCAAAGAACAAAAGTCCTACCTCCCATAATGTTGAAGATTTCCTGGCATTTCTGCCCTTATTGGAGAATCCCTTCCCGCCAACTGCAAACATATTTAATGTTGAAAAATGACTGATTAGAGTATTTTACTTTCAAAATGTTGACAGTTTTCCTATCTGCTAGGAGCAGGAACCTGCTAGAATGACCGGTTCTACACCATTCTGCACCAACAATTTCCTGCATTCTTCCCCACCAAAACAAGGGGGGTGGATCACCAAAGTTCAGAACAGACTCATTTTAATGAGAATCGTCAAAAGACAACCACATCCTACCCTAAGTCCACAAACTGCTCCGTTCCTTCTGTAAGAGTAGGGCCGGGGATATAGCTCAGCGGCACAAGCACCTGCCTGGTAAGTGCAAGGTCGAGTTCAATTCTCTGTATCAAAAAAAAGAGTACCTGAGATTTGCCACGTGGCATACATTACTTAGGGCCGTCTCACACCGCCCTACGGGGACTGTCCTCATCCTATTCCCTGTATGTGGAAACTAGAGGATGTGGGCATGTGCCCCTGTACACATAGCTCCTGAGCAAGGTCACACAGCAACACCAGGCCTGTGTGTCTGGTGCCAATGCCTCTGCCTTTAGCCACGACACCACAGCTCCTCAAAGACTTGTATGTGTCACACATTCCTAGCTTATACTGCTGAAAACACACTAATTCAACACACACAAGAAATGAGAAAGAACCCAAGTCCAATAGTCATGTCAGCTAAAACTTGTTCTTAAAGGTGTCTGATCCGCGGCCTGGAAAGCCGCTAAGTGCTGCTGAGGCCTTTCTCCAAACCCCTTTATAGGGTTCTCAGAGACTTTTCCTGTTGTTTCAAAGCAAGACCTGAACCATACAGAGAGGAGGAAGGTAGGAAGGAAAATAGGAGGGAGAGAAACAGCTTGCAAGCAGAGAGAACGCATGTGTGTACCAGAGCAAAAACAATGGTCTTATGGGCATCTTTCCCTTCCAGCCCAAGTAAGGCTACAAAAGGACAGTTTGGGGCAAATATTGGTACTATTTAAAGTCTTCTGCAGAAAACTGGGAAATTAAGTCCCAGAGTAAAGAAGCCAGGCAGGCAATATATCACCTACTCAAAATTCACACAATTCTATCTCATAAGACACTGTAGGATTAATCAGGGTTTGTCAGAGATATTTGGCATTCCCAGAATACCCCAAACCCAACCCAACCCAAGACCCAGTTTTCCTTGACTTAATGAATTACTAATCTTAAAATATACCTTTGTTACCGCACTTGGGTGCAACAGACTGCAGAAAATCTGACATGCATGGTTTTCCGTGCTACTAACTGATGCAACTATCACTAAGAATCACACTGCTAATGTCAAACACAGCTCAGGAATACCCCTCACACCCTCATCCCTGGTCCGGAGCATGAGCATGTGTGTCTTCCGTACAACCCAATCGTACCTCAGGTTCCATGTGCCTGGGAAACAGGGAGGTGGTGAGGTATTTGTACAAAATTCTCATGTCGTCTTGTTCTAGTCCACTCCTGAAACAAAAGAAAAATGCTGTTATGAGTTTGGGACTGGGCTCATCTTTCCATTATTCTACGACAGAGGTCCATTTTTATGACAGAGGGCAACCTTTTCTTCCTTTATGTCATATGGAGAAGTTTACCCTTTGGGAAGTGCTTGAAGGGAGACCTGCTAAAGCCAGCTCCTCCAGTGTCTTGCCTCTTATACGCCCTCTGAAATAAAAAGTCCCTGCAGACGGACTCTCGGAGTGAATGCCATGGAAGATTACTTAAGGAGCCTCAGGGCCACACTACTGTCTCCCAGCAGCAGACATCCCTTGGCTTCCTGGGCCACACGGAAACATCAGTGCATTCCACTGGTTTGCTGGAGACAAGGAGCTTGATCCTAGGTCTCAGAAATATGCATGGATTTTTATTCTCTGGATTTCCATGGAGACAAAAAGGAAGAGAAAGCAAGCCTTCAGGCACACCATCCAACCTCAAAGGTGGCAGGAGTAGGGAACATGTGGGAAAAGTGCTGACAAACTAGCAGGCATCAGACAAACGGTCTGAGATATATATATATATATTATTTTTATTTTTATTTTTTTTTAGGAAAAGAGAAAGAGAATAAGGTTGTATAGAGTGTTTTCTATCCAAGATAAGCATTCTGGGAGAAAATCTCACTTTAGGTGATTCAGGCCTTTACACTGTCTTCCAAGTGTTCTCCCTTCTCTTCTCTGTAAGGACATTGTTGGAAAAAGCTCTGGCCTGCTCTGCCCTCTTCTCTGGGTCCCTCCACTTTGACATCCTACTTCTTTCTCCTCTGATGCTGCCTCTCTGCTTTCAAGGTTCCATTTTCATGAATGCTGGCTACAACTACCACTCTAGGGAAGCTCTACCCCCTCAGGCCAGTTTGTCTCCTGCCAAACAGAAAGACCATTTTGGGGCTGAAAGGTGAAAGAGGGGGTAGATCAAAACTTTTAATGCTTGTTTTATAACACTGCCGATGCTGGGAGTCTCATATGGCCAACAAGACAGACTGAATTTCCAAATCAAACAGGAAAATTTACCAACTTTTTCTGGTAGAAATATCTGACATAAAAGAAAAAGGCAACAGGGATGCATGCCTGTAACCCCAACACTCAGGGGGCTAAGGCGGGAAGATGATGGGTTCTGAGTGGGCAACGCAGTAAATTAGTGAGACCCTGTCTCAAAATAAAAAGGGCTGGGGACGTGGCTTAGTGTGAAGGCCTAGGGTTCAATCCCAATACCGCCACAAAGAAAGAAAAAAAGGAAGGAAGAAAAGAGAAGAAAGCTAGAGGATGAAATGGAAGACGAAGTTTATGAGCTGCTAACGGTGCAGCGTAGACACTGCGGGCTTTCTCTCACCGGTCTCACTGAAGACTAGCTAGGCATCAAGCACTTTGGGACTGGCTGTAGGGAACTAGGAGGAAAAAGCCTGCGTGAAGCTGCAGCCAGCTGCTCAGAGCACAGACCCCAAGTCGGTGGCTTTCCACTGTGCTGAAAGAGGGGCCTGCCTTCCTCGTCAGGCCTCCATTAGCTCTGCCACGGCTACGGTCCCTTTCTCTAGTATCTGCCCCCCGACCACGAGGCCCTCTCCCTTATAAAGGTAAAAGAAGCACTGTCACATGATAGTTAGGTAAATGTTACCACTGGGGAAAATTCCTTACCACTACACATGAATCTTCAATGATCTCAAAATAAAAGGTTTAAAAAATCAACTGAGAGCCGGGTGTGGCAACACATGCTGTCATCTCAGCACTCCGGACAGCTGAAGCAGGAGATGGCGAATGTGAGCCCGACCTAGGCAAATTAGTGAGACCCTGCTCCAAGACAGAAAGTAAAGGGCTGGGGATGCAGCTCAGCGCAAACACCCCACGTGCGCGTGGCACTTCTACTCTGTCAAGGTTTTTCTTTTCTATCCAATTTTGAGCTATTTTTACCTCAATCCTAAATGGACTTTCTGGTTTATGGCAGGAGGGGGCTTTTTAGTTTTGCTCGAAGTGCTGAGGATCAAGCCCAGGGCCTCATGAACGCTAGCAACTGCTCTGCGACTGAGCCACTGAATGGACTTTCACTAGTTCTCCCAACTCCGTCTCTGGGGGAGACACCAAGTTATTTGAGAACTACTTTAGCAGAAGTAATTCCAAGAAGCAGTGCAAGTGGCTATCATTCACTGTGGAATCTTTCTTATGAGGATCAGTTTAGTCTAAAATATAGATTGAAGCCCACAGGCCTACAATCCCAGTACTTATGGAGGCCGAGGCAACAAGATTGCCATAAGTTTGAGGCCAGCCTGGGCTGCGTAGAGAGTTCAACGACAGCCTGAACTACACAGCAAGGCCATGGCTCAAAATAAATAAATAAATAAAAGTAAGTAAATAAAATATAGACTCTATTAGTGTCATATTGAATATAAGATAATTTGGCACAAGCAAAGAGTACGGGCAACTTCGAGTAACTTCATACATACTTGACACATTCACAAAAGTGTTCATTCCTAAAAAGTAAATTAATACACTAAAAAGAAAAGACAGCATAAAAATTCTGGACAAGATAGTCAATTCATACCCCTGACCCCAGTAATAAACATCTAACCTGGACAGTAGCTGCTATAAAAACCAAATCCATTTATTTAATACATAAACAGTACTCTGAGATAATTTTCTACCCATTACTTCTTTGAACTGTCAACATTTACTGACCATCTACTATGTGCCATGCACCAGTCATGTGCTAGCATAGAAAGATGTGTCTATTCTAAGTCAGATCATTTAAAAAAGATATACACTGGGCGTGGAGGCACACACCTGTAATCACAGCACTCTGAGAGGCTGAGGCAGGAAGATTGCAAGTTCAAGCCCAGCTTGAGTAACTTAAGAGACTTAGCGAAATCTTGTCTCAAAAAAACAAAACTTGAGAATGCAGCTCAGTATGAAGGCCCTGGGTTCAACACCCAGTTCTGAAAAAAAGAAAGAAAGAAAGAAAGAAAAAAAAAAAGGCAGTAAAAAAGGAATATACATACTCTGCTCATGAAGTATAAAATTCTCGGTATTTAAAGATACCAGTGCTGGAACAAGCAATTGCCTGTCAAAATGTGCTACTGGCACTTCCTGGGACCAACCTTACCCTGTTGGCAGGGTGGACAGACCATGGGACTGTGTGCTCCTCACTTCTAGAAAATGCTACTCACACACATGATGATGCTAAGAACCCCCTGTGGTGGGCAACAGGTAGCTGTGGGAGTCCAGGCTACCAGAGTCTCCCCCTGTTGGTCACTGTGAGGTCAAGGTCTCCTAGCACGAGTTGCTGAGTTTGAGGGGACCCTGAGGCTTTGGACCTTCCCACTCTGTCACTTTCACACCCACAACAGGGCTGCGAGCTTCCTACAGATCAGAATCTGAGCTGCTCTCTGCAGACAGTGTGGATGAGGCTGTGGGCCACTGCTGCCGCATTTCCTTATGCCTAGGAGGCTGTCCATGCTCCATCACCTCGAAGCCCCCTGCAGGGCGGCTCCTAGCTCTGCAGCCCTGCCCTGGGGAAGCGGGACTAGGCTTCCACCTCCTACCTTGCGTGGCCTGATAATGTGGTAAATGAAAAAGCAGATTTTCATCTGGGATTCGTTATGTTGTCCTCGTAGAACATGAAGGTCCACATAGAAACACAGCATGTTCTTCACTAAATGGATTCTAACTTCTTTAGACTACCTTGTTTCTCTCCTAAAATAGAGCTCTGGGATTTTGGCAAAGGTTGGGGTGGGCTTCAGGGCAACTAGTACTGCCTTTTCTATTAGCTGAGCTCAAGTTTTTGTGCTAACATATGGCTATACTCCTAATTTAAGAAAGTGGGTTAAGGTAAATAAAAACACAAAAATTGAAACAATCTCAAAGTAGCTGCTAGAAGGACACTGGCCACCCACTCCCTGCTGGGGCTCAGAAGCTCATTTCAGCTGGGTCTGGGCCACAAGGGACAGGCTGGGCCACAACACAATTCTTTAGGGTCACCTCTGCTCCAGTCTCATGGCCACGCACACAGTTTCCCAAGTTTGGGCTTAGATAAATGATCACATTTACTAACAGTTTATCTTTTCTTCTTCAATGCAGACATTTTTTAAAAAAATGCTTTTGTTTCCCCTATAATACATAAACATGCTTTGGAACAGTAGATACCATATTTTAACAGTGGTTATACTAGATATTCTTAAAAACTGAACTTCTTTAAAAAAGAACATTAAAAAGGATGCTTTCCACATTTATGAGGTATGACTGATATATACGATAAATGCTTAGATTTTAAAAATTATTCCAGGAAGACACACTGCCATTAATTCCCTTCAAAATACTCCCCCTTGAGTTCACCGTCTTCCGTGCCAAGCCTCAGGGCATACCTACCAGATGAGTTGATCATTATAGAGAAATGCAGTGTATTTGACTATATTCAAGCTTTCCTCCATTCTATTAATAAAGGACTGGATTTTCAAATAAGTCATTTTATCCAGTGGAAAGAAGCTGATTCCACCAAAAATGTCAAGCAGGTCACATGACTGCAAATGTAGTGTTTGCAAATACTGTAAGAAAAAATAAGATATAAGTTACTAATAATACATTCAATGTAGTACTCATCAATAATGGAAAATAATCTTAATATAATCTGATTTTAAATGAATACTTATGGTACAGTTGTATACCGACAAGCAGCACAATGACCAACAAGTAGGTGATCTATGGGTAATGACTTGGAATCGGTACCTACTTTAAAACAAAGGTTGCATCTAACTAGTAGTATTCATTCAGTATAAATCTTATCTCTTTGAAGTAGGTAAACATTCCTATTCGCGCTCCTTAGATTAAGCTCTGGGATCCACACAGTAACACCACAGGCAGACAGTACCACCTGGAAGGATATTAGTCAGGAAGACAGCTGTACCCGTCAACAGGAGTAATGAGGACAAAAACAGGAACAAATTATAAGCACTGAAGTGAAGAACCAAAAAACTTAATTCATAAAAGCAAAAAAGGAGCCAAAGGCATTCTATAAAGAAAAGCTGAATGCAAAATAGATAAGAGGCATTTTAGGGAGAAAATGGACTATTATTCCTTTAAGATAAACTGAATTTGCAGAAGTAAGGGTCAGATATGCAAAAGTCAATTTACAATGAAAGAGAACAGCAACTGTTTAGGGACATTGTCATCTGGGACAAAAAACACAACTGTCTTAAGATTAAAGGGATCTTTCTCATATGGGCTGTCGGCTATTTCAGAACTTTAGAAATGTAATAGTCAATTTATTAGAAAGAAGCAGATTACTAAAAAAATAAATGTTAAGCCAGGTGTGGTGGTGCATATACCTATAGTCCTACCACTTGGGAGGCTGAGGCAAAATGCCCATGTTTAGCCGCACAGTTTGTCATAGCTAAATCTTGGATACATCAACCGAGGAATGGATAAAGATGCAGTTTTTTTATACAATGCAACACCACTTTGCCATAAAGGAGGATAAATCTGAGACATTTCTAGCTAAATGGATGCACACCAAGGCCATACTTTAAGTGAAATAAATCAGACACACGCCTGTAAATCTGCATTGTTTCTGTGGTGTGAGAAACCAAAAGTGTAAACACGGACCAAAATGTATAACAGATATTAGGAGATCAGAAGAAAATGCTGAAATGGGAAGGGTAACTAGGGAGGGCGGACTTCAGGAATGAAGGGAAAGAAAAATGAGGAAAGTAAAAACTGGAAACAAAGTGTCTGTAAATAAGGAGGGGAAGAAGGGTGGAGGGGAGGGGAGGGGAATGGAAAAAAGAAGCACCAACATAGATCATGTATAGGTACAAATTCTCTATTATGAATGTGACCAATTATTGTAAACATACACCTAACAATGTAAATGTAAAATAAAGTAAAAATAAACTTAACAACAAAAAAAAAGGTCTCCTGTAAATTCAGGGCCAGCCTGGGCTATGTAGTGAGTTTAAGACCAGTCTGTCTCAAACAAAAAATAAAAAAATAAATTTTGTAGTTTTACCTTTATTTAAAAATGTACACATATCAAAACTATAGATTAACGTTTTGTTAAAAAAACAATACTAATGCATCACAACCAAAACTTTTTCCTTGAGTCTATACAGTTTATGCCTCTTTAGAGAACACAAGTAATCCATAATAATGTACAACTGTCATAACTGTTTAAATTTTGCCAATTTACTAATTCAACATAAAGTGAGAGGTATGTGTACGTGTGTGTAGTATTAGGGATTGCATCCAGCATGTTCTACCACTGAGCTATATCCCCAACTCTTTTTCAAAATTTCTTTTGAGACAGCATTTCACTCAGTTGCCCACGCTGACCTCTAACTTGTGATTCTTCTGCCTCAGCCTCCCAAGTGGCTGGGATGA